TAAATTATCAAAATCTGGGCAACACATTAGACGACAATCTTACTAAACGTACCAACAGCAGAATGTATTAGTTCATTACAATATCTAGGTCAATTAGTTGTAGTTAGGTGTACCAAAAATACAACCAAAAGTTAATACGTAATAAGTACCTATTATGACTAATACAGAGCGTACCTCGAATAGTAATCCATTATAGGTACGGTACAATATTATGTATAGCTATTAAGCTATTTTGTTAATGTAAGTGTATTGTGATTAATGTGTAACAAATTACCTAATCAAACTCTACCAATTGATATATTGCTAAATATCTTGATTAAAAAGCACCTATTTACTCGTAGTCAAAAAGTTACTTCATTCGCCCTAAATTTTCTTATAAATCATTGCGTGACGTCATGTGTGTTATTGTTCACTTTAGCCTAGAATATACTTCCATCTAAAATAAAGAATCAATGCAATAATAAACTTCGATTGTAAACTTAACTTACTTATTTATCTTTTATCATCCGCCATTAAATCTTAAACCAGAAAAATGTAGCACATTCCATCGCATAACACAAAGAAACACTACTCAAAGATAACTTTTATTCTATTAGCTATTTAACAAAATAAAATAGTAGCACCATTATACAGCTATTATCAGTTCAACCAACAGATCAAGCTCCTGCATTGTTGATATTGGCTTCAAATCGCTGGAGAGCATTCCATAACATGTCGCAGATTAATTTGCGACGACACATACCTCTCTGCTCTACCTCCAGTGGTTATATGCCTCTACATATGTTTTTAAGTAGAGTTCGTAGCACGTTCGTATGGTAGCGCCATCTGTGGGCAGCGAGCGGTAATAGTACAGCTGTGGTTTGAAAAGTAAACTTCCGACTGCGAACTTTGCAAATGTAAGGTTTGTAAGACCCCTGTTGTTGGTTGTTTCGTATAGATGTCATTGGATTGGAGACGATAAAGAAAAAGTAGGAATCACTGAGGCTCTGGATAGGGTAATAATTTCCTCATTTTCCCGTAGATGGCTCTTGGTTGAGTCCTGGAAAATGTATCGGAAAACTTACGGAAAGATTCACCATTCCGAAATCCTGGTTCTTGTAGCACATTGTGTTAATGTTCATCCGTTTTAGTAGATGGCTCTGTGTGGTATTCAGCTGAATTGAGAAGAGGTAGGTATGCCATGCACTTCTTTTATCTTAAAATGCATTGGAAATTCCAATCGTAGGCAATTTTTCAAAAATTACCAAAGATTTTCCGTTTGTTTAACGTCATGGGAAAATCCATTGATAAACATAAAAGAAGTACATTATCTTATTTTAAGATGTTGCTTACTTTTGCTTTTTTAGTAAAATACATTATTTTATAGATCATTGGTAGTAAGGTGCATACGTTTCTCCATACTCTCATAATTTGTTGTTTTTAGTTAGAACTTCTAACAAATGACCCAATATATTTTCTATTTCTTGTGATTCAATATCTAAGTAACCCACTTAATTTACTTGGTACACTGTTCTCATTCAAACGAAATATTTCCATTGCTTGATCTGAAAACCTCGCAAATTAGCACCTACCCGCAATATTTACGTTTAAACTAGACCGTCTGCCTACACGCCACAGCGCTGCATGCTTTTGGATGACGAATGAGTAGGTAAATAGCCTAGTTTATTAAATAAGTCTTTGTAGCTACTGTGTGTCTGACGGACTTAAAATTATACTTATTTAAAAACTCATTAGGTATTATGTTTGATTAAAAAACTTATAATGTCTTTGTTTGATTAGCGATTAATGAATCTGTATTCTTAATGATTCTTAGTAGGTATTCTTCATTAATTCTCTTTGTAACCAAAAACAGGTTTAGGCCTACTGCTCGAAACTACTACTAAGTAGATTAAATTTTAATCAGTTTTCAGAGAGTGACAATGTTATTTAGACACCACACACACAAACAAATACGTTTTTCAAAAAATATTATCATTTTCAATACAAACAACGCAAGTCTTTTTAGAATTTATTATTATTCGAAGACTTCCATTAGTACATAATTATCTATTACATTTACATTACATCCTACAAATTTAATTTATAATACCTACTTACTTTTTAAGTAACTTTACCGCTGGATAGGTATCTAGGTTGAGGTAGTAAAGGTTGCAGGGATGGTGGCAGAATTTCTTTTGCCAAATAACAACACCAATTTTAAATTTCTATTTATTGATTCAATTTGAACTTCGAACTCACAATAAAATGCAGCACGGTAAACACAAATATCTCAAACCATTTATTATTATGTATGTTCTTATCAAAATACGTGAAACAGTGACCGGGAGGTACATAAACCGGGCTATATCTACTACAAACACCGATATTGATTAAAATGTTCTATTTAAGATGGAAACATTTTAGAGACAGCTGATTTTGAGCAAAAAGTTTTGATAAAAAAATAAGTGTTCGGCATGTTTATTATCGTTAGTAAAAATACAGCAGTTAGTTGATGCGGGATAGGACTTACACGTAGAGTGAGTAACTTACATAATGCCGTACAAGCCCGGGCGGGCGCCCCTAGCGGCCGCTTTGGGAACTATCTTGGGTGGCAGCGCCTCTGGTGGCCTAATCGCGTACTACAGAACACTATAGGCCACTCGCACATGATAGAGTTATTTTTTTTCTTTGATCTATTTTATTGTGGTGTTTAAATGTATATTTCGTTTTGTAAGATAGTGTTTGGTCAAAGCAGCCGCAGGATAGAGCGCCGTGGCGCGTGTGATATGACTTCATTTGTAGCAACGCCACCGCGCCCGTAAACGATAAGAAATAGTGTATATAAATTAGCTTATGTAACAAATAAGCTTAAATGTATATAATACTGAGGCAGAATTACATCTTAACTACGACGTAACATTAAGTGTGGTACGTGGGATTAGACACGAGCGCAAGCCCTTAATTTATACGGACGAATGCGATATATAATTATATTTGCTTTATATCTATGTATCTGACGCTAAAACATCTATATAATGTATTACTTTTTGTACATCTACTTATATATTAACCGTACATACACTCACTAAGCTTAATCTTCGAGCCGCGAGACCAACGTGTGCGCACAACCTAAACCGTTGACTCTCATCGCAAGGGTCACCGCAGACTTTGTTGACTTTAATATCAGCTGTTTGTAATTAAATCATCATTGGAATAATATAATTATCTTGAATCTCAAGGTGGATAAGCTGTAGCGACCCCGACGCCTTTATGACTAGAAAATAAAGCATACTCCATGACTGTTGTTGATAACAAGAATCATAAGTTAATTCCGAAGCACACATTGAGTTCACGGCTCTCTCAGGGAACTCTGAGTATTTGTCCCGCGGGCGAACCGAAGGGGAAGAGGGGTGAGAGATTCCACCAAAGACAACCAAATATACACAACAAAAGATATAGAGCCGGTGACTAGAAGAGACTAGAAGAGCGTTCGCCCGCGTCGGCTTGGCCGCCCGTCCCTCGCTACACATTAATATTAAAATATATTTTCGCATTTATTACATAAAATTCACGTTAATCTACCTACGTTAGAAAAGTAAATGAAAGCGGGCTTTAAGAGTAAGTAATTTAGGTTCGAATTTGTACGCGGAGCCTATGTACACAGCGTACCTTGGACGTTTGTTCCGCGCGCCCGCATGATAACGTGCGGTCCACGAACTAGCCTACTCAACAAATGCCTACAACTGAGATCAACTCAACTCCAACACGAGAAGCGACGCAGGACATTACCACACGGGCCGCGGCATCGAAAACTTAATTTTAAACGACTACGATGTGACACTTATGACTTCTAGGACACTAGACGAAAACTTAGAGCTAAACCTTAAAACAATAATAAATATTTTGGTGCAAAATTAAACGAGAAACAAATTAAATTATATCACTGCTAACCTTAAACGTAAGTTAAGTATGACTGATGTGTACACATAAGTTTACCATGTCCACTAATTACACAAGCTTTATGATAAACAGGATTGGATTCCCACCGGAGCCCCTGCTCAATATATTGGGGAGAACATTCAAACACACATCGATTCCATAAATAATTAGAACAAGAGGGTACAAAACACCCGACACTAAAGTTCCTAACACACATCACGAGGAGTACTGAAAATCTATTTGTTCTGGGTTCAGTAGTGCGATGACTTCCAACTGGACTGGTATTGGAATGTTATTCCATGTCATGTCAAACCTCAGCATAGTCAGTCAGATGTTTTTGAAGAGCACTTAGTAGTCTTGTAAATGCCAATAGAGTTAACATTTTAGTTTGTTATCACACTAGACTTTTTGGGGAGCTCTCACTAGTGTTGTAAAAGTCTACAGTATTCAAAATGGCATATCCAGTTCTTTAAGTTTGTGATCACACTAGACTTTTTGAAAAGCTCTCGCTAGTTGTAAAAAATGTTGATTAGGTTGTCTATAGTGTTAAAAATGGCATATCCAGTTTGTCTAAGTTTGTGATCAGTGATCACACTAAATGTTTTTGAGGAGCTCTCACTAGTGTTGTAGCTAAACCTCGATAGTTCAAAATGGCATATCCAGTTAGTCCAAGACTTTTTGAGGAGCTCTTGCTAGTTGTAAATATCGATAGAGTTCAAAATGGCATAATATCCAGTTCTTTAAGTTTGTTATCACACTAGATGTTTTTGAGGAGCTCCCACTAGTGTTGTAAAAATGGCATATCCAGTTAGTCTTTAAGTTCGTGATCACACTAGCTAGATCTTTTTGAGAAGATCTCACTAGTGTTGTACCTAAATGTGTGTTCAAAACGCAGTGTTCAAAATGGCATGTCTATGATTGTGATCCAACTAAAGCCCAGTCCGTGAGCACGTAGAATTTTGTCCAATGACCCCAAGCTACCCATCCTTATCGCTCGCGCGTAATTATATTGCTGTCGCGACTGTGCGACTGGCACCCGCAGTGAGTGTGCGAGTGCGATAGCAACATAATTACGCGCGAGCGATAAGGATAGGTAGCTTGGGGTCATTGGACAAAATTCTACGTGCTCACGGACCAGACTTTACCTCAGTAAATGACGATAGATGTCAAAGTGGCGTGTATCCAGTTGGTCTATAAATCTGTGATCGCACTACTGGCCCGGCTAGGCGATAGGTACAAAAGTGACACATCTAGTGGGGGGCGGCGGGCCGGACGCGCTTACTCCTTGACCTCGAAGTACTTGTAGGTGGGGTTCTCGTAGCCGTTGATCTGCATGTTGGCCACGTGTCGCTCCTCGGGGGTCGGTGCCACTGCGCCCGTCTGCTCCACCTGGGGCGCAATGTTAGTTAAGTTTGGAAATAGTATATTTTTAGCACTATTATTGATGGGGGTCGCTGTAATTAGTTGTAGAAATGATATTTTTACCATATCCACACTAAGCTTAAACTCTGAACTGTACTCGTATTAGTGTCGGTAAAATCGAGCAGCCTGAAAAAAGCTTATGGAAAATCTCACTGACAATACCTACGTTTTCGATGGCTTCCTTGCGCTGTACGACAAAATAGTCCTTATTTTTTGTCAAGAGACTAACTAACACGAGACATATTGATTCTGCACAGTTGGTAGAGTTGTGTAAATAGTACTCATCGTTGAATGGGCTGAAATTTATCTTATGGCGGCAGCGGCCAGAGCGGCACCTCCTACGCACAGAGCCAGTGGCGTTGGGTCCTTCTAAAGTAGACCTCATGGCGGCGCGCTACAGCGAGCGCGACGCAAGCGCCGGCGGTCAGAGCGGCGCCCCCCACACACAGAGTTTTGCCCGTCTAAAGAAGACCTTATTGCTATGACTCTAAGGTCTCTAAGACTGTACCCACCTGCACGAATCCCTGGGCTTGCGGCGCGCGGTCACGACGGCGCGTGACGGCGAGTGCCACGCAAGCGGCGGCGGCCAGAGCGGCGCCTCCTACGCACAGAGCCGGTACGTTAGGCTCTTCAAAAGTAGACCTTATTGCTAAGCATCTAAGGTTGTACCCACCTGAACGAATCCCTGGGCTTGCGGCGCGCGGTCACGGCGGTGCGCTACAGCGAGCGGATACATAGAGCCAAGAGCATTGGGCCCTTCTAAAGTAGACTTTATTGCTATGCCTCTAAGGATGTACCCACCTGCACGAATCCCTGAGCTTGCGGCACACGGTCACGGCAGCGTGGGACGGCGAGTGCCACGCAAGCGGCGGCGGCAAGGGCGTTGGCCACGTCTAAAGTAGACCTTATTACTACGTCTCTAAGGTTGTACCCACCTGCACGAATCCCTGAGCTTGCGGCTCGCGGTCACGGCGGCGCGCCACAGCGAGCGCCACGCAAGCGGCGGCGGTGGCGAGGGCGACTCCTCCTTCGCATAGAGCCAAGGCGTTGGGCCCGTCTAAAGTATACCTTATTGTTACAACTCTAAGGTCTCTAAGACTGTACCCACCTGCACGAATCCCTGAGCTTGGTCACGGCGGCGCGCTACGGCCAGTGCCACGCAAGCGGCGGCGGCGAGAGCGGTGCCTCCTACATACTAACCGGAGGTGTTGGGCCCTTCGAAAGTAGACCTTATTACTTCGTCTCTAAGGTTGTACCCACCTGCACGAATCCCTGGGCTTGCGGCGCGCGGTCACGGCGGCGCGCCACAGCGAGCGCCACGCAAGAGCGGCGCGCTACAGCGAGCGCGACGCAAGAGCGGCGCCTCCCACACACACAGCCGGGGACGTTGGGCCCTTCGAAACTAGACCTTATTGCTATGTCCCAAGGTACCCACCTGCACGAATCCCTGGGCTTGCGGCGCGCGGTCACGGCGGCGCGCTACGGCCAGTGCCACGCAAGCAGCGGCGGCCAGAGCGGCGCCTCCTACACACAGAGCCGGGTACAAGGCGCCGGCGCCGGAACCGGGTGCGTTGGGGCCCGTGCCGCGGATTGTGTAGCCCTGGAAGGGAAGGAAAGATTGATGTATATCGTGAGGAAGCTATACGTTTGGTGGGAAGCCTGATTTGTCTTGCGATTAATCGCATAGGCGCAAATAGCTAAAGAAGACATTTCGCAGTCTTCCGCTATGAAAAGCATAATGACAACTGTACTCATAGATTGTCAGCTACAAAGCTAATTGTTGGGAATCGAAAATGCAGAGTATTATCAGCATAATGCAATGACTAGAGAGGATATTCTCTTTGGTTTCGTTAAACCTTAGTGGAACCAGCTAGATTCTGAAGCTAAGCTAAATTAAGCTACTTTTGGTGGAATTCACCCTAATGCACTCATTACCATCTCAATAACAATGCACTGCCGGTTTATTAACATCGTCTAACGTAGAAATCTTATGAGATTTGTGTCTTGATTCTATGACATCTTTCCTATTTTTTGAAGATAATGATGATATTTCTGGGAACTGTATAACTATTCTAGACTAAGACTAAATGAGGTGAATCCGTAGGAATCCTACTAAAACGGTGTACTGACGAGCGTGAAAAAAATGAACTAAAAGTACTATTTTTGGAGTCATAAGGACTTTGCAAATAATAATATTATACCTACTCATTTATATTAGGTACATTATATTATTATTACATTGCGATGCTAATAACAAGAGCTTGAAACTTGAAACAACCCAACTTTAGTAAGTATGTCCTTGTTTTATAGGCATTTCTTTATCTGTGATTTGAATTTGTAGGATCTACAAGAATTTATTGTACTTTATCAAGACCTAATTTCATCGGTTTTTGAAAAAGCTCTATTTCATGTTTAGTAAGCCTCAATTACCTGTGAAACTGAATTAGGTATCGACAGATAACTTCCTGAAAAACTCCTTTATCAGCAAGTTTCTACTTGCCCCAATCAAATTTTTTCATGCATTTTATAATGTTAAAAAGATGTTGCATAATCAGATTTCGCATAGCTAAATCTATCTTTATAACTACATTGTGTTTTGTACTGAGGTAGTTTTTACGACCTCTCGCGACCCCTATAGAGGTTTCGCGACCCCCTGGTGTAGAGCAAAACACGCGGTGGAGAGCCGGCTCAAGCCCTAAAGTTGATGATGATGATGATGAGGCAAGTGCAAAAGCATAATACGCACAATGAACACAATACGTACTGGCTGCGAGTGCTGGAGCTCGTGCTTGAGCGCGTGCGCGGGCGGCGGCGGCGCGCGCTCCTCGGCCTGCTCTAATGCCTGGCGAAGGCCTGAGCCTTCCGTCTGGAACAAATTATACCCAAATCAAATCAGATCGTTATTAATTTTTTAAGCGTTAGAGATTTCAAATCTCAAACTTAAATATTATAAATAACTTGAAAACATCGAACTGCCTAAAGCGGGAATCGAACCCATGACCTTTCGCTTGCCGGGCGACTGCTCTTCTATTTGAGCTACTTAGACACTGGATGAACCCGCAAATGTAATACGCTGTGGGTTCGATTCCCGCCTTAGGCAGTTCGATATTTTCAAGTTATTTATTTTAGTGTGAAATCAGATCGTGTCAGCATCTTTATTTTAGCCAAATGACGACCACAGCTGGGCAAAAGCCACCCCCAAGGATTTGTAAAATGACTGGTCCAGTGCTTCCCTCTACCTTCACCAGATCGTTGGTTTAGAGAGTTTTAATATTAAAATTCAAACAATCACAAACTTTAAATGCTTGAGCTTGAATCGCAACTTCTTCCGCGACTATAGGATTTATGTAGCATGAACAATTCTTCGTGGCTTCGTGCAGTTGAACAAGTGAACGTGATATCTCAAGTAAATATGACATAAAAATAATGGAGACTTGTAACTTTACCTAAGGTTTTCCTAAAACTTCTAAACCTTACTTTTCGGCCAAAAATTTTAATAAGTAATTTATACTTTCAAGTTGCTCGTGCGTAGGTACTCACACCAAAGTATAAACCGACACACTTACCATAGAATTTATATCAAAACCACAAGCGAAGTTTGACCGCGAAACTAAGGAAGCTCTATTGTGAACTTTAACTATTAAACTTCATCCTTCATCTCAATAGAGCCTTTAAAGTTTGATTGTCTAAATTACAACTAACTCCGACTACGATATTGTTAAACAACACCGTTAAGACCGAGTTAACTCTACGATTCGTTACAGCATGGACTAAAGCTTCATGAATGAATATTATGGTGACTATTTGAACAAATAACGTTTTGAATTTGGTTATCAACATTACAAATAAACTAGAAATGAAAGGGGAAACTTCTGCAATCCAGAAAGTTTACGTTTACGGCAACGATTCGTGCATGTAATTTTATTACGACATCAATTTATACGAATAGGTACCCAATTCTAACCATGAATGATGGTAAATACAAATAAAATACGAGAGAAGACGAAAAAGGTTATATAGATGCCCACTATTGCCCACCATAAAAAAACTAAAATTAAAAAAAATTAAAGAAGAACGGTACCAATCTGAGTATTCTCACTATAAACTAACTAATAAAATATCTTCTAGACGAGATTACATGTCTAGAACAGTTTTTCTAGAAGGGGTCTTACCTCGCTAGTCGATCGGCGGCTGGAAGTCTCGCTGGGCTCGTTGGTCTCGGGAGTCTCGCTCTCGGGGGCTTCAGTCACCGTGCTCGTAATGATTTCCTAAAAAAAAATAACATAAAAATCAATAACCTGTTTTCATACAAATGTGACAACGTCTCGAATGAAACTAGACAATCGTGACCAGACTTTATAACTTATCTCAGTCCTATTACCCATCTCGTATTCTCAGTGCCTTAATTTACTCCTTTTTCCGTCGGCAAATGCATGATGTTGCATACCCATTGCCTATGGGGACTCACCACGGTGCACGGAACTCATAACGTAAAGAAATTCCGAGCAAAGAGCTCTATAGCGCTTCATCAGATCAGTCATACTGCTGGAGAGCACGATCCTCTCTTACTTACTTGAGGCAGGCCTGGCTCACTCCGCGCGGTACATCCGATAATTACCTACAGCGAAGCGCCCCGCCGGCGGGTATTATATCAGTCGAGTGTCACGCGCGCGCTCGTCAGGACGCTGGCGTGCGTTGTAGTATGATTATAATTCTATGATCGAAGTATTATTTAAAAATGGACATAAAGAGAAAGAAATATTGTGCGGCGTTCGGGTGTTTAAATTTGGAAAGTAATCTACCGGATTTATCTTTTTTTTTTCGCTTCCCAAAGATGCTGAAAGGTATGTTGGCCATGTAGGTAATCAATAATTCTTAGGATAGTATAGGAACCTAACCTACTATGAAGGTTTTCCATAATGAATGCATACTTACCTACATACGGACCTCATTACAAATAAGTAGATTAATTATTTTTTCACTAGACAGCAACCCTAACAGCGTAAGAAGAGTTCAGAGGCACGCGATAGAAAGAGACAAAACTTGTAGGTGAATAAAATTGTAGGTACGTAGTGCTGTGCGAGCTGAATTCCACTGTATCGCGTCGTAGCAAGACTCGCATTTATTTAAATCGTCTTGCGGAGTAATCCTTCTGTACCTGTACTATTACTTATTCTATGCTCGAGGGAAATGAAAAAATTGGCCTACACTCTTCCTACACTGGCCAGACGGGTTGAGGAGACGTGATTAGGCGGAGGTAACTTTAGGAAGGTTGCAGGATGGCACTACAAACGGGCTGCTTCCAATCGGCCTATCTGAAAATCTTCAGGGAAATAAGCCTATTGTCAGCAGTCTGTGGATGTCCTGTGGCTGAAATGATGATGATGAAAGTTAACCTTTAACTGGTGACAAGCGGTCTCACAGGCCGGGCGGCGTCAGTGAAACATCGTTTCACCCCCTTCCCCGTACTTCCTATGTTTCACCGCTTCAGTAGCTTCGAGTTTAGTTGTGTCTACGCCGTAGATAAGGATATTTGCATCATTCAGCTCCAAATCGACAAGTTACATCGATGTAAAGTTCATCAGCGGTCTCTCAGACCGCATGTCACCAGTTACGTGACATTTTTTTCATACAGTTTTTTCGTATTTTTACTATCGTGGAGAGTGGTCATGCCACTACTAGAGCATGACCCTATCTAATTTATTAGAAGCAAATGGAAAATTCCGCCTACACTCCACGATAGCCAAATGGGTTTGAGAAACCTGATATTCGCATATTTGTTTCTCAGTCACCTTTTAGAGGAAGACTGGGGATAGTCCTATTCTACTCTGTTCAATCACTTACCGTGGTGGAGGTGTCCTGCGTGTAGGGCGCGTGCGTGGTAGGTTCCCGGGAGGAGGGCTCGGGCTCGGGCGAGGAGGGCGCGGCGCTGGCCTCTGAGACCTCGGCTTCTGTCTCGCGGGCCTCGGCGCGAAAGAAGACTCCGAGCATAGAGCTCCATAGCGTCAACGTCAAATCATTTAGTCTCCATTTCTGGAGCATGGCCCTATTTAACTTACTTAAAGCAAATGGATAAATTGACTACAGTCCCCAAGCTAGTATGGGCTGTGGAGGTCTGATGTGCGCATATTAGTCCCTTAGTCTTCTTACGACGTCCAGGCGAAAGTAGGAGTGGTCCTATTCTATTCTACTGGGATAGAACAGCCATCTTACCGTGGTGGAGGTGTCCTGCGTGTAGGGCGCGTGCGTGGTAGGTTCCCGGGAGGAGACCTCGGCCTCTGTCTCACGGGCTTCATCGCGAAGAGAAACTCCGAGCATAGTGCTCTATAGAGCTTCATCTGGTCATAGTCTCCACTTCTGAGAGCACATGCAACCGTTCTTAACTTACTTGTGGTAAATGGAAGATTTTGCTACATCGCAGGCTAAATAGGCTGAGAAGGCCTGATGTTCGCATATTTGTCCCTCGTCGCCCTTTACAGGAAGAGTGAGATGATGGTCCTATACCTCTAAGATGGCTCTCAGTCTCTTACCGTGGTAGAGGTGTCCTGCGTGTAGGGCGCGTGCGTGGTAGGTTCCCGGGAGGAGGGCTCGGGCTCGGGCGAGGAGGGCGCGGCGGAGGGCGCGGCGGTGCGCGGCGCGGCGCTGGCCTCTGAGACCTCGGCTTCAGTCTCACGGGCTTCATCGTCGGACTCCTCGCTCTCGTGGATGCCGTTGGAAGTCTGCAATGAAGATGTATTTTTTAGGGACTTACGCGGGGCCTGTGTGGGTTTTAGCGACCATCTTGCATTTGTAAGAGATATGTTCCCAAGCATGTTCAAGTTCATAGCAATGTTTACACCTATATTCAGTTAACAGAAATTGATTTTTGGAAATGTACATCATCTAGGAGGTAAGTATGTTCTACCAGGAATGACTTATTTTAATATGTAGACAATTATAGTTTTTCAGTTGATGATGCAATATTGTTTTTGATTTTTTGATACAAGACAGGGGTCGAAGTGGTCGCCATGGTGAAATCGGTGAATCATCGTCATCATCATCAAAGTTTTTGAGTATCGGATCACTTAATTCACGTACCTATTATTTTTTTACAATCAACAGATCGATTAATTTTACAGAAATGTTTTTTAAAATACCCTAGTAATAAAGCGTAATCCCCATCCCTACCTTGGCCCTCTCATTCTGGATGTCCTGTCTCTGCCGCGTGCGCTGGTCCCTCTTGGTGTTCAGTTGTTCCCTGGCCGCCTGTTCCCTCTGGACCTCAGCCTCGATCCTGTCCAAGAGCAGCTCCTCGGCCTCAGGGGTCATGGACATCAGGGACACAGCCATGTCGTCCTTGGACTGCATGGACTGAAAGTTTAGGAGGCAGGTTTAAAGGAACGTGCAAAGGGTGCGGTGATCAAGCTCTTGAGTTAAGGTCGATATTTGGGTGAAAATTTTAGGACAGAATTGGTCTCAATGACAATTTTTTTGCGACATCAGGCTGAAAAATGTGGATGCAGAGTTTGGAACAGAGTTGGTCACAATGACAAAAATGAAATATAGGGTGTTACCGTATTATATTCAGCAAGGTAGGATAAGCATTATATGAGAAGATAAAGATGTGCTTAAATTAGAAAAGTAACTGGTAGAGGGTATGAAAGACAAATCTGAACATGCAGTTGGGACAAAATTGGTCAGATTAAAAACTTAAAGTTTCAGGTAGTTAGTGCGATTCAGCAAGGTTAAGACAAGCGTGAGGAGAAGATAAAGGTGTTAGAAATGAACAGGTATAATAATATGTATGCAAGACAAACCTGAACATAGTCTTCAATGGCGGTTCCAATGCTGGCGTAGAGGTGAGGGCGGCGACGAAGAGCAGTCAGGGCGCGTTGGAGAGCGCGGTCGGCGTCCTAGAAACAGAATACATATTATTTAAAAAATCTGGAAAGAGTTGATCTCCAAGCAATTTAACACTCCTTTTTACCTCCATTTCTCCATAAGAAGGCTCTAAGTTACTCAAACAAAGGGTCATGGAGCGTGCTACTCTTATGTTTGGAGTTTCCTTATGTGATCAAAATATGGGGGCAAAGCTCATAAGACTAATGGCCATTAGGACAGAAATGTTTTTGAGTGGCAACCACGGATTGGAAAACGTAGTCTAAGGTAGCCTCCCAACAGCTGGACCGACGATCTGCTGAAGAACAGGAGATGCAAGGTGCATCTCGTATTGAAATGCGGATAGGATCGGTCGTTTTGGAAATCTTTGAGGGAGGGTTATGTACAGCAGTGGATGGCTTTTGGTTGATGAGACAATAAACGTCGTGGTATACCAACCTGCAGTCTATCAGCAGCACTAGCGCGCTCAGCAGCAGCGGTGGCGCGTCTCCAAGCGGCGAAAGCACCACTTCTCTCAGTGACTAAAGCCTGAACTAGTCACTAGCAGAACTATGTGACTTCATAGTATACTGACCTGCAGTCTATCAGTAGCGCTAGCGAGCTCAGCAGCAGCGGCTTCGCGGCCAGCGGCGGCGGCGCGTCTCCAAGCGGCGAAAGCACCACTTCTCTCAGTGACTAAAGCCTGAACTAGTCACTAGCAGAACTATGTGACTTCATAGTATACTGACCTGCAGTCTATCAGTAGCGCTAGCGAGCTCAGCAGCAGCGGCTTCGCGGCCAGCGGCGGCGGCGCGTCTCCAAGCGGCGAAAGCACCACTTCTCTCAGTGACTAAAGCCTGAACTAGTCACTAGCAGAACTATGTGACTTCATAGTATACTGACCTGCAGTCTATCAGTAGCGCTAGCGAGCTCAGCAGCAGCGGCTTCGCGGCCAGCGGCGGCGGCGCGTCTCCAAGCGGCGAAAGCACCACTTCTCTCAGTGACTAAAGCCTGAACTAGTCACTAGCAGAACTATGTGACTTCATAGTATACTGACCTGCAGTCTATCAGTAGCGCTAGCGAGCTCAGCAGCAGCGGCTTCGCGGCCAGCGGCGGCGGCGCGTCTCCAAGCGGCGAAAGCACCACTTCTCTCAGTGACTAAAGCCTGAACTAGTCACTAGCAGAACTATGTGACTTCATAGTATACTGACCTGCAGTCTATCAGTAGCGCTAGCGAGCTCAGCAGCAGCGGCTTCGCGGCCAGCGGCGGCGGCGCGTCTCCAAGCGGCGAAAGCACCACTTCTCTCAGTGACTAAAGCCTGAACTAGTCACTAGCAGAACTATGTGACTTCATAGTATACTGACCTGCAGTCTATCAGTAGCGCTAGCGAGCTCAGCAGCAGCGGTTTCGCAGCCAGCAGCGGTGGCGCGTCTCCAAGCAGCGAAAGCTCCACTTCGCTCAGTAACTAAAGCCTGAACTAGTCACTAGCAGATCTATGTGACCTCATGGTATACTGACCTGCAGTCTATCAGCAGCGCTGGCGCGCTCAGCAGCAGCGGCTTCGCGGCCAGCGGCGGCGGCGCGTCTCCAAGCAGCCAGGGCTGAACTTCGCTCAGTAACTAAAGGCTGTACTAGTCACTAGCAGAACTATGTGACGTCATAGTATACTGACCTGCAGTCTATCAGCAGCGCTAGCGCGCTCAGCAGCAGCGGCTTCGCGGCCAGCGGCGGCGGCGCGTCTCCAAGCGGCCAGGGCTCCACTTCGCTCAGCGGCCAGAGCTTCCAGCACCATTAGCAACTTTTACTTTCTACTCACATCATGGTATACTGACCTGCAGTCTATCTAGCATGATCAGCAGTGGCGTCTACCTACAAGCGGCCAGGGGTCCACTTCGCTCAGCGGCCAGAGCTTCCAGCATCATTAGCAACTTTACTCTCTAGTGACGTCACGATATACTGACCTGCAGTCTATCAGCAGCGCTGGCGCGCTCAGCAGCAGCAGCTTCACGCCCAGCGGCGGCGGCACGTCTCCAAGCGGCCAGGGCTCCACTTCGCTCAGCGGCCAGAGCTCGCACGAGGCGCTGGAGGCACTTCTGCACGCGATGGGCCTGGAGAAGAATTAGGAATATTTCAGCATAACTTCTTGGGAAAATATTATTGATTCGTTGTTATAACTGGCGTCAAAATACTGGTGTCATTATTTTAATAGTAGTCAGATATGGATAAACTGGACCAAAAAATACAAAGCATGTCACGGACATGAGAAGTACATATAGTAATGATCCGTGATACACAAGAAAGTATTGAGGATAAAACTCCAGTTTTGGCAAAAGAATCGACAGATTGGCTGGTCAAGCCTGACCTTCATTGGTTGGGTTTTTGTGGCGGTCAAGCTGTAGATCCTGGCTACACAGGAGTTGCAGTGGTGGGAACGAGAGGTGGGAATAGTCCCGTAGCTGGTCAAGTCCTAGATTGGAGATCACATCTTAATTTGTGCATACGATGCAATTTACGTTGGAGCTATCATAAATCGATAGTTGCTTGCCAGTTACAGAAGGAAAGTCTCCGACTGGGTTCTGAGTTAATAACTAGAAGAGATCTGATGTAGGCTGACAATGTTGACTGCAACTCCATTCCCAAGCATCCTAGTTGCAACTATATTGACAGACTTCCACTGGATGCTATAGGATACCTAGGTATTCTATATTAAAAAGTTTGGCTTACATTGGGTGGCGTGTCGCGGAGAGAGCGAGTGTAGCAAGAAAGCGCAGTGCGACGACGTTGAGCGAGGTGAGCCAAGACTCGCTGTTGATGAAGGGCGGCCAGCCGGCGGCGTTCCGCTACGCCTTCTTCTTCGAGAGACTGTTGGTAAAGAAAATAAAGATTTACCGTAACATAGTAAACACGCCTTTCATTAGGTTTCGAAGAAGTAAGTCTACAGGAGCTAAAAATAACTTCTTATTAGGGTGCACTAATTTAGAGACTTGGTCACGCACGACTAATAACTATGACGAGGATTTGAATTATAAACGTTGAAGTTCGAGAAAGGTTCTGCAACTCTTATATGAAACTTATTGTTGGAAAAGATATTAGCATAGGTATACAGGGTGGAATTTTGCAATGCCACCTGGAGGGAAAGTACTCTTAATACTGTAGATAGAAAATTTTACTGAAATAAACATTCCTTTATTTTTGAAAAGAAAGAGAACTGAGCATTGAGCAAACATTTTTGAATTTTTTTCCGAAAATTCACTACCATGCCATACAATTTTCTGTACATAATTAAAATCATTTAAGATTTCATGGTTTTCCTTTCATTTGATTTGTCAAGTTTGTTAGAGAGATTTCATCCTTATACTTAACCCTAACGATCGATGCAATTAAAATATAGGATGTAATTTTTAACAGATTTTAGGTGGTTCGATTCCCGAGTGTGGCAATCAAATCTTTGAATGCAGTTCTATTTCTCCTCAAAAATAAAGGAATGTTTTCTTTGAGAAAAAAATCTATATTAAGAGTACTTTCCCTCCAGGTGGCATTACAATACTCCATCCTGTATTTTTTTTTTTGTGGCAACCAAACCTCTCTGGGAGGTTTATTTCTGCCAATGTCGAGTGAAAAATATTGACATAGTTATCAATAGAACGTGGGTGTTTCAGTTCTATTGATTTTTCATGGATTCCGTGGAGTTAAGTATGCCCGTAAGCAGGTTTCGAGACGCCACCGGGTCCAAAGCGGGTTGTTCATACGACAACCCACTCGACACTCGATGCGCGCTCAAATTCGAAGTATTTCAATGTTTTTTATAATTTATCACTTCACTGCACTTTAGAACACAAAATAACACCAAATTTGTACACAAAAGTCCATTAAATAATAAATTGAAACCATTAAAACAGATCGACCATGCTTCCCGTTCAACTACCCTCCACGGAATATGGTTGCGATTGCTATAGCCTCTGACAGCGGTGACAATATCAGCTCTTGTTTTCCGTCATTTCTGACTTCCTGATAATAATGAAGATACTGAAGATGTATAGGTAGTAGCAGTTAACCTACCTGCACGTTAGCCTGAAACTTGGCGGTCATGCGTTGGCGGAAGGTCTGCGCGGCGGCCGGGTCGGTGTTCATCATCTGCTGGTAGCGGTCTTCCAGCTCGGACCACTCCTTCATCACCTTGGTGATCTGAAAAAAGGTTACTTGTTAGTGGCAGCTTGATTTTAACGTTTCAAAGATTTTTCTGCAAAGATCATCGACATATCCCGTTGCTAAAATTCAATTAAATTATGTGCGTATTCAAATATTTATTGTTTAAGTTAATTTTATTGTCAGAGTGATTGATAAATCTTGGTTTGTTATGTACTCCAGACTACATAACAAACGAAGATCAGAAAAACGTTATCTTTTTGATATCAATAAACTTAATTTTGTAAGTAGTTACCTAAAATTTCCTCAACGTAAAGAAAAACCTGGTTTTTCCTAAGATAGTCCTTACAATTTTTTAGCTCTAGCCTTTTGAGATTTAAACTTCCAACAATTTCTCTAATTTTGCTTATTTTTTCTGATGTTGTTAATCGTAGTTTAACACTAATAAAAGAAATGTTATTCAACGGAGAACTTATAGTTCCATTATAGTGGTTTTATCGACTTTATCCAAAAATTTCCTAGACTCAGGATGATTAGCAAAATACTTTCATCATTCACTCGCGTCGGCATCAAGCGCTGAGTGCGAGTGACGGAGAGCCGAATATATCAGAATCGTTACACGGACTACGAGCATGATTGATGACGGTAGCGTTCGTATAGCTAACACACCAGCGTGTATTATCTCTACAACGACTATAGCTTTAAATCACTTGCTATGGAAAGAAAGTACGGCAAATATGGATAACCGCTGACCTGTAATTTTATTACCATCGTTATCTGATTTGATCAATTTAGATATATTTTCTAATATGCTCATCTATATATATAAAAATTAAACCCGTTTTCCGTTGTCACGACATAACATGAAAACGGCTTGACCGATTTGGCTGATTTTTTTTTTGTAGTTTTCTAATACTCTGTACAAGGTTTTTACGGAAAAAAATATAAAGAAAATCTCTACGCTAAGGCGGTACGAAGTTCGCCGGGTCAGCTAGTCCAAGATAAAAATATGAGTTTTTACTCAAATATAAGGCGTGGATGGCATGAACATTTTATATGAAAGCAGCGCTCGAAAAACAATGGGTTAAGAATTTTGAATCTGGCGATCTTCTTTGCTCGTAGACCGAACATTTTATAGGCCCAAATTGGGTTTTAAAGTTCAGTTATAAAATGAGGTAAATAGGGATGTTTCCTGGGTCAAAAAGCAACAGTTTTAATTAGTCCGTCAGTTAACTTATCAAAAAATAGTCTACACGTATTTTTCAATTTTTCAAACTAATGAAAATTTAAAGAGATAAAGCGCGCCAAAGTTCATAAGAAAAGGCCCGTGACGTCAATGCGTGCATAAAAGTGCCGCACGTTGTAACGTCGTGCGGAACTTCAACGCACCATAACTATGTAATCATTTGTTAAATTGACAAATAAAAATATAGGTGTCCAATATTTTTTGATGTTAAACATGACGGACTAAAAAAATATTTTTAGGAAACTAGCCCATTAGTTAAGTGAAATGTTACCTTTTCGCGGTGGGTTTCCTCGAGGCGTTGTTGGGCATCCTTGTAGCTCTGGTGCTCAGTACGAGGGTCGAAGTGAGAGAAGTACGGGTCCGATGTAGCCGTGGACGCCTGAGAATTGTTGCCCATTTAATACAAAATATTCTAATTGTGTAAGAGGCAACAAAATAATTGAAATCCTCTTTAATTGATGGAATGGTCTACTAACATTGATTAAAAGGCTGATAATTTTTTTATTGAAAGGGTCAGTCGAAAACTTTAGATATAGCCACACACTCTCATCGGTATCAATGTAAACATCATTACTAGTCATCTATAAAAAAATTAAAGCAAGAAAACTAGAGAAAGACTCTTTCCACTTAGTACGGGGTTGTCACTTTCCGAGAAAGTTACCTACAAGTTACCACCACTGGTGTTCTGCAGACCATAAAAAGGGGCACCATTTTACAACAGGTTTTTCACTTACCACAGTAATAGTGGTTGTGGTGGTCGAAGTGGTAGTGGTGGACGGTGCAGCAGAAGATTCAGGGCGGGGCCACGCGCTGTCGTCGGCGTCGGTGTAATAATTATCTCTAAACTTTTACAATAGATATGCACTAAGCTACGACTTCCCAACCAGTCTGATCAGCATGGGGAGTGTAGGTCAAATCCTCCAGTTGCTTCTGGTAAAATAGAGAGGGTCGTATTTCTGCTGTGAAGACTAAATAACCTGATGATAATAAAGTTCTACTTACCACTCTAGTAGTGGTAGTGGTGGTCGAAGTGGTGCTGGTGGACGGAGCATCAGAAGATTCAGGGCAGGGCCACGCGCTGTCGTCGGCGTCGGTGTAATAATTATCTCTAAACTTTTACAATAGATATGCACTAAGCTACGACTTCCCAACCAGTCTGATCAGCCTGGGGAGTGTAAGTCAAATCCTCTAGTTGCCTCTTGTAAATTAGTCATGCTCCGGCAGTAGACACTAAATAACCTGATGATACTAAAGTTGTTCTTACCACCGTAGTAGTGGTGGTTGTGGTCGACGTGGTAGTGGTGGACGGGGCGGCCGAAGACTCCGGGCGGGGCCACGCGCTGTCGTCGGCGTCGGTGTAATAATTATCTCTAAACATAGCTTTCACCTACAATAGATATGCACTTACGACTAGCTCTGCCTTGTTATCCCCTCAGGACAATATGAGGAGTATATGTTAAATCCTCCAGCTTCTGATAAATTAGAGAGAGTCGTGTTCCTGCAGTGAAGACTAAATTTTAATAACCTGATGATACTAATGTTTTACTTACCACTGTAGTAGTGGTAGTGGTGGTCGAAGTGGTAGTGGTGGACGGGGCGGCCGAAGACTCCGGGCGGGGCACGCTGTCATCGGCGTCGGTGTAATAATTATCACTAAATCTTTACAATAGATATGCACTAACCAATACTTTTCCTACCGGTCTGATCAGCCTGGGGAGTGTAAGTCAAATCCTCTAGTTGCCTCTTGTAAATTAGAGAGAATCGTGCTCCGGCAGTGCGAACTAAATAACCTAATGATGCTAATGTTGTACTTACCACTGTAGTAGTGGTGGTGGTGGTCGACGTGGTAGTGGTGGACGGTGCAGCAGAAGATTCAGGGCGGGGCCACGCGCTGTCGTCGGCGTCGGTATAATCGTCGTCTTCAGCGTCGTCGTCGCGAGATAAGTCCGCGTCTTCGTCTTCATCCATATCTGTTGGGTACATTTTACAATTTTAAAATCAAAATCAATCTACAAGGCCTACTTTATACCAGTAAAACATCAACATTGAGTTAGGTGTTTGTTTCATTGCGCTTAAAACATGATTGATTAATACAATTTTAGAGTCAGCGTTTTTGTAATGGTAAGGGATCACCGGGAGCATTCACGTGTAATGTAACATTATAGATTTGACTTTGCGCTATTCTGTTTTCTTCCCTCACTGATGTGATGCTCGAATCTGTAACGTTACGAGCTTATTACAGGGTCTCCCTAACCTTTAACTAGTCTATTAAAATTTTATTTCCTTTTATTTTAATTTTTCCTCACAAAATTTTCCTTTATTTATCTACCAGATTCCAATTCCTTATTAATGTTTCTCTTTAACACGTCCCAAAACTAGCTATCCCTACCACCATATCAATAAACATAAATAACAAATCCGCACCTATCTTACCATCGTCAGTATCATCATCGTCGTCGTCGTCGCTCAGGTTCAGGGTGTCGTCATCGTCATCATCGTCCAGAGCGTCATCATCGTCGAGCAAGTCGTCATCACGCTCGTCCATCGCTGCAGAAGCGGCGAGCATCTCTTCACCTCCAGGGCTGACTGGTACTCCGACGTCCATGGGCTTATGTAGCTTCACGTTTTCTGCAAAGACAAAGCACAAGTTTAAAGTAAGTCACAAGTTAGTAGATAACTTTTATACTTTTAAAACATTTTTAAGCAGTAATATTTATTGTTACAACTTTGATATTCGTATCATCAGAAGGGTCTGTATCACCACTTGTTGATATTTTCTCTGATAGCCTATTACGAATTCATTTGTTGTCAGATGAGATCGCATATAAATCCCGGTAATCAGAAAACTTTTTGAAGATAGCAACGTGGTTTCGGATGAAGTTTTCAGTTATCTACTAGAAACTATTAGAAACCCCTGAAAAATCTATCAATAACACTTTTAATAATTTTCCTGATTAAATAAAGTGATATTAGTTCAAAATAACTGAACCAACCTTTAAAATGCTTTGGGCAGCAGACGAACTCGACACCAGAGAACAGGCTGATTCCACATGGCAGTAGCATCGCAAAGGTCCTCAGTCGCAGGCCTCGTTGCGCGCAGGCGCGGCCAGCCGTCGCGTTCCACCTCGCGAATTGCCAGCACCGGCTCTGGTTGTGGATGTGGTCGAAGAGGCAGCTCTCAGGAACCAGCAGCGCATCCGATTGGAATGGACCTTCTGCCGAAAAATTACCATTGTAGCTAATGGTGCCCATGAACTTCGTAACTGGACTAATCAAAGATCTTTTTCCCACCACTACCAGTTTATAATAACCTCTCTTTCTTACTTCAGCAACTCCCGTATAGCCAGGATCTACAGTTTGACTTCCAATAAAATCAAACCGGGGGATAGCTTTTTAATTTCCTCGCATTTTAATTTCCTAGCACTAACTTCATTACCTCAAAGGAATTAACTAAGAAAAAGACTGAGTAGAAAAGAAAATTGCCAATTCCCTGTCAATGGTGTTTGAGGTCTTAAACTTTAGTCGACGTGAAAGAAGTTATTCAATAAAGGTACAGGATTGAAAACTTTAGAATAGAAATGAAAATCAGGCTGACCCAGTTTACCAGTACCCAGTAATACGGACTCCTTGAAAAAGTTATAAAGTCCCATGCGCAACTACTTTAGTTACTGGAACTCTCAAAGGTTTCTACAACTGATGAATTGTGAACAGCTTTCGTTTAATATAGATTGCATGAATAACTTTAAAAGAAAAAGAAATATTGATGGATACTGGTCTATAAAAGATGAAGATAAATATGAACACGATAAACATACCAAGACAGCGGAATGGCTTGACCCATCGAGTGACCTTGCACTTCGAAGCGCTGCCGGCGCCGAGCTTGCACCAGTTGCTGACCTTCACGTAGTGCGAGGCCTCCACGATGTTGGTGATGTCGTGGCTGGGGTACACCTGATGGATAAACAACAAAACATAAGTTCATTTACTCTGGAAAATAAGGCCCTAAATTCATTCAAAATCAAAACCCTGTCAAATATTCTGAATTTTGAAGAGATTGAATAAAAACTTCACACATCTTCAATTTCCTTATTCCCCTTTCATCGAAGCTGCAAATTTCCTTTATATCATATCACGTGTCACAAAAGAAAAGCAGGATTAGCGGTGCGACACTGCGCAAAGCTGCGAAAATTCTCTTGGAATAAATTATTCATAATTTTCCTTCAAGTCGCCTCACGGCTGGGGAAATAATTGCTTTGCAAGTGATGCCTTTAATGAGATTACTGGTTAAGTCGCTAAACCCTGGACGGCAAACGCAAGTGTAGGTTAAAGGTCGATTTTGATCCCTAGTCCGACGGTGTAAGTTTTAAACTGTACAAACCGATGGGGCGTGAAAACAAAGGGATGCCAGTGTGTTTCAGTTAGGTCTCTCGTCAGCCTATTGAGTGGGGTAGGGTCGCAATCAAGTTTGATTGGGATCGAGTATCGCGAGTGGAAGCCACAATATCCGTCAACGCTTCGGCTTTCGCTACTGGGACAAACCCACACGGTATGGGTGAGCTAACTTGCGTATTGGTTCGCAGGCATGTAACGCGTAATTGTGCGGTTGTCGGGCTTGTAACCAGTACAAGAGTATTTGGGTCGATAGGCACGAAACGAAGTAATTTGTACAGGATTTATGCGCGAACTATTTATGTGTATGAGGTTTCTGGCTACACAAAAGACGGAGGTGAATATACGGCTATTAATTCGATTGGTTACATTCTTCAAATATTGGGTTCAACATTTCGAGAATGACCTTGGAACTTAACCCCTATGCCTATGACCTTGTATTGGTTGAATCTACCATACCTACTCTACTTATTACATAAATGACTGCAATGTGTGTTTAGGCGCGGACTACATCACTACAATCATCTCATCATTAATAAACTTACTGACAAATAGCCTCGGATTCAGTTAGCTACATATTACCGTTGTAAAGGTAAAGGTTAAAGAAAGAGCCGGAAGGGATTAATAGTACTAAAAGATTAACCGATCAACTATGGCCTCGTTCGGCCATCATATAACTTCATGGAAAAATGAATCGAAGGTTAAGGACATTATTCCCAACCCATCTGACCAGAACGTGGGGAATGCTCTATTGCATCATCATCATCATCATTTCAGCCACAGGACATCCACTGCTGAATATAGGCTTCCCCCACTGCGTCGTGCGATGTAAATGCTCTATTTGCCTCTGGTAAATTGAAAAGGGTTGTCCTGCTATGGAGAACAATTGAACTGATGATGAAGGTTTCTGTTCAGTAGATGTACCAAAAGCATTCTTCTTGGGCCATGAATGGGTCATTCTGTTCAGTAGATGTACCAAAAGCATTCTTCTTGGGCCATGAATGGGTCATTTATGTATCTACCTTAGTCGTAGTCCTCATCATCATCATCATCATCATCATCTCAACCATAGGACGTCCACTGCTGAACATAGGCCTCCCCCAATGCTTTCCATGTTACCCGGTTGGTAGCGGCCTGCGTCCAGCGCTTTCCTGCTACCTTTATGATGTCGTCGGGTAGTCGTAGTATTACCTTCTTGCAATAGTCCAGGATCTCCATCTTGTCCTTCAAGCAGTTGTGCGGCTTGGTGGTGAGGTCGGGCGTCCATCGGCCCACCGCGGACATGTATTGCGGGTGGTAGGTGGCGCCAGCTTCGCAGAGCACGGCTACCTGAGGGTCGGCTCCCGTGTTAGCCTGGAAGAAGAAAAAGGTAGGAATTAACGATGGTCAGCTATTTATGACAATTCGTATCAAAGTTGGACAACAGGTAACAGCCCACATGATAAGATTTTCCGTTCATAAATACTACTTGGCTGAAGATGTATGATCGATAGCATATTTTCCACCCAATACAGGACCTACTGGTTACAGACTACTAAGCTGTAGATACTATGGATGACGTCACCTTGGATTATAGGAGCAGTTTTACAACAAGAATGTGTAGTCTAGTGCACTACGTTCATCTATCAAATACCGAAGCTAGGTGTAGTAAAACAGGTAAGTTTATGGAGGTCAAAGGTAAAAAGTTTGACGATTAATAAATTAATAATAGCTATCGCTAAAAAGATATTTCAAATCTATAACATCATTAACGACTGTTTCGTTTTAGTTAAAAGTTACCATTCCAAAACAGACTCGATTTTATTACACACTTCAGCCTCAATCCGCTCACTATAATAAATAAACAGACTTCAATCGTAAGTTCAACACAAACTTCAGGATCTAATCTCGCTCGCAGTGAAGTTAAAATTATGTCTAAGTAGAGTCGTGAGCTGCAGCTTTATTGGTATCCAGCTCAGAGGGGTTATTCCGAAAAACGTTATTCGAAGTTTCGAATGCTGCCTTCCCTCTCACGCAAAGCAAGATACCAGTATGAGCGACGGTGACAAAAAGACTGGAAACTACGTAAACAGCGTTTCGGAGTAGCCTTGCTGCAGCGAGTGCAAATGCAGTCGATTTGCCACTTTATAATTCAAAGGATAGTCATACTTAAGGAGCAAGAATGAATGAGCAAGTCTTCGATGTTTGAGAGTATTTGATAATAACAGTATCGCAAACAGTTCGGCCTTGAGTTTTAAACTTAGCTTTAAGTATTCAAACTATCCAGTTCGCAACTTTATCATGGATTAAAGAAAACTTAACGCCCGATGATGTAGTAAAGGTTGTTGTAAACAAATCAACGATGCTTAATTAGTTTCATCGTGAACACTGAAGATAAGTAGCATGAACACTTCTTGCTGAATTGTAGTTGAGGGCTCTTTTGTTAAAAACAAGTTCTTTAATAAAAAGCCAAACTAAATAATAGTATGCGGAGATTTTACTATTTTATCTTAAAAATACGTTCCATTAAAGTCTAAAATATTTAAATCAACTGCCAACGTTTGACCCATGATTTAAATTAAGCCCCATTCGAATCCAATAACGTAAATCTTCACATCTCTACCTCGTTACTGAGTACAGCTAGGTAATAAAACCTGTCTAGTAAAATTCACCTTAGGTTAGAGTTAACGCATCTAACGAATAGGGATGTGTAATAGTGTCGATAGTTCAATCGATAAAAATAATTATATTAATTTATCAAAAATACTTTATTCAATGTCGTTTGGAATATAGCCAGTTTTATCTGTGTGCTTAACTTATTAAAGCCAAAAGGGTTTCATCTATCATTTGGACTTCAGTAATAGAGTAATCTTCGCGATATTAGTAGTTATTAGTTTACCTAAAACAAGCGACAGTGTTTTAGTAAAAATTAAAAATCCATGGAATTTCATAGCTACCAAGTAAAGAGTTGAAACGCAAGAGAATTTGAGGAGAAAAAACAGCACAAAAAACATAACCTCATTAAAATGATATTAACAAAATCCGTAGAGTTCTTAAGAAAGTCATGTAAATCTTACAACACTATACCCACGGGGCATCGAACACATAACTAAAAAGAGCTTGTCAGGACGTCTAGACTCTAGACTACACTCTAGGCGGCCCCAGCCGATATTACAAGTCCGCATTAGGGAAATCTCAGGTTGGGGCAATGCACCAGACAAAAACAGCCTTTTTGTACCAGCAATGTTTTCCTAATAAACTTCAGATTTCAGAAGTTCGAAAGAAGTGATTTGTTCGTTTTTCTTTGATAGAGCTGCACCACTGCAATTTTTATGTATTTTTGTTAATTAGTGTTTACTTGCATAAAAAAGAACTGAATTACTACCTAAGTATTTTTTTAAAAGGGCACTGCTCGTTAACATGCCTTTAGTCTTATCAGACTAACTTTTTATCAAAAAGGACTTGATTATCGCTCTTATTACGTAGATAAAGCAAGCGTTCTTTGTTCTTATTAAATAAGTAAATTATCCTTGCAAGTACCCAGGTACTCTTTATATTTCTAAGGCAAAGACAGTAGCATTTAAAATATGCAAACGTCTACGTCTGCACGAACGAAAAATTACGAGTTCGTTCACCCCGCATAACCCTTGACTACTGGTATTGCTGGCAGTAACCCGATCATTAAGATCCCGCGTAAACAAAGGGAGCGATGTACCATGATGATGGATTAACTGCGGTAAAAATACCTTTTGTGCTAGGTATGACGTTAACATTTTGAGATAAGGAGAACATTATGGTTATAACTTACTTAGATCGATGTACTCGTAGAAACTCACAATCGCATAATACACCAACAATTTTCGCGCCTAATTAATTAAACGTCACTAGCAGACAACTTTTTTTCTTGGCTTCATGGCGTTTGTGTTTAGTCTTTTTTCTTAGTGGACAGGATCATTAATTATGTTTAAATTAAAAGTTCAGCTTTTTTCGTACATTCTAAAAAGATTGATACTGGTCACTATGTTTAGTGCTAAACATTGTTTTTTTTCTTGATTGTCGTAAAGCACAGCAATGTCAAAAAAATGTGTTTGAGTTTTTCAACCTTAGAAAATTACATTTCATAAAGAGCAGACCAAATCGGCGTTCTTTAATTAAAAGTTTAAAATATACGGGTCGTTACTCGTGGGTCCCGCTTCTTGGCAGCTCCAGTTCAGCTGTCAGTCAGCTAACGAGCCAACTTGTACAATTTGGTACGTGCCCTAACTACCGGTTAACTAATGCCGTACAACTATTCTGGGGCGGCACGAGCAATAATTTGTTATGGCAACCCAGACGTATAAAGTTTTGTTTTATTAGACGTAGAGGTCGGAATAGGTCGGATTTAAACCGAGACGTACCTGCTTGTGCATAATTCCATAACTCTGGTACATACAATGGTTACGTGCTTTATTGAGGGCTCGTTTTAAACTTCAGGACATTGTTTATGTGGAGATTTCACGATATAATTTGACATTAACTTGTCGTTGTGCAATTTTTCAGAATTGAATTACTGTAACGTTGCTCTAAAAACTTTACGAGACATTTAAAAAAAACAAACTGTTTTGGAGTGCATAAAAGCGCGATTGCTGATACAACTATTCACTTTTTTTTAAATGAGTTCATGAATACACACTAGATACTTGAGTTGTTATTAAGGCCAAGAGATGCAATAAGCACACTGCAACGTTTGTACAGAATAAACATCAAATTTAATGGCGTATGACGTCACCCGTAGGCGGCTGACACGCGTGGGTGTAAGTCAAGTGCAACGAACGAGCCTGTTACTTACTGCCTGGACAGGATAATCAATACTGGATGCTATTTTTAACTTAAAGATATTTTAAGCAGATATCATTATTGTAAAAGATTTAAGACTAAATTAAAGATTTTGTAAATTAAGCAGCCTTATTTCAGGGTTGTAGCCTCAGCTGTTACCGCTCATACGATAGAAAAAGAAGATGAAAAACTTATGCTATTAATCATAAAGGTTATAACAACCCTAGTAATGACCCCTATGAGCCACTATCCCAGTCACTGAAGTACCAACGGCTGATTATATGTATAAGTACCTACTGTTTGAAGTAACTGTAACTAATTCTGTATAATTAGCTTAGAGCCGGCAGTTATACCATTATTCGACTGTCTGACCCTACAAATAGACTTGCTTTTTTATTCTCTCAATATTTTTTTCAGGGATGATAAAACTTCATGTTATTATTGTACCAGTACATAAAGACCTAAAAAATAGACACTTGCTTCTTTCGTACACGTACTTAAGGAGTAAAAAAGCAAGCAACCGTTGGTATAGGTTTACGCAGGGGCTAAGTAAAAGTGCCGTACACTTAAAAGTCGATGTTCCATTTATTTTGTGTCTCTTTGACTCGAAGACGGCTAAGTGCAAAACGTGGTTCGAATAGCAAAGTTCTCAGGACATGCAGCGGAGTACGATGTCGGCGAAAAGTGTGTTTGATGCGTCTTGGAAATTGGTGGAAAGTCAATACGAGAGATAAATAGGAAAATACACTTTGGGTATAGTGATTGTGTGTGTAAAAATTGCGTGTAGATAGATATTATTTATAGTAAATACACGCGCAATTTTCACAACCTTATGAAGTTACGAGTAAGTAGCTGACAAAGCTGATGGTGTTGATGAAAATAGCAGATAATTTTATTCTTTGGTACCGCTCTTAAGGCTTACTTATTTCAGACAGTTGACTACAATTGAACGACTTTCGTTCGGTCTTTTTAAATAAGGCATTATCTAATGTGCCATGAAGGAAAAGGGAGTGTTNAGTGTTCATAATGGGCGATTGTCATGGTGGGCGATGTAGTGAAGGACGAAGCTTAGCTCGTCCTTGGTGGGCGATTATGTTAAGAGTTAGTTTAAAGTTCGTTGTTGTATTACTAGATGGCACCACATGTTATGTTTGTGTTTAAGTTTACATAGTTTTACCAATAGATGACTCTTGTATTTTATGTGCAAAATATTAGCCCGCGGTGTCCAGATTTTTTGCCCGGCCTTTAAATATAACCGGGACGCAATAAAGAATTGAATTCAGTTGACCTCAAGACAGTGTTTCATTCACTAGTAGTTAGTAGTACCCAGTCAGTGGTAGGTAGGAGTGAGTGATAGCGCCTAGGAAGTGCGCAGGGTGAGGGAATTCCACCCTCCTCTATGGGAGGGTTAAACAGGGAGGAAATACATTGTCATTAATGTTAGTAGGGCAAATGGTTGAGAGATCAAGGCATCTTTAAAGCCTATAAATATAACTAAAACTTTTTAAATTCTAAAACACGCTGTCAATTCAATCTTACAAAATTCTCAAGAAAAATTCT